GTGCTCTACACATCCAAGTGCAAGTCCAGCAAATCCATCTACACAGTCAAAATTAACTTGGAAGCCTTGCATACTATCGCATTCTTCAACATATCTTCGAATATTGTCACAAAAATTATCACCAAAATCATGTTTCCACAAAGATTGACCAGCATGAAAAATATCAAAACATTCCTGCAAATAAAAATACAATTTATTAAGCAAGTTTTAACCAAATCAGCTGTAAAAAACACAAAACATCAAGAGACAATACTTACTGTTTCATCGCCATGCACATAATCCTTAACAATATTAACAGTCCTTGCATGAAATCTTGGGTACAGATAATCTGTCCATGTTTTAACATCCTGTTCAAAGTTATATTGCTTTGTTAAAGTTTTCGATCCTTCATTATCAATATCCTCTAAGTACTCATTCTTCGGTGGAGCTGGTTCTTCGATTTTTTCAACGGCATCCCATTGAAATTCAGATTCTTCTATTTCACTAGACAGACCACCGCCCTCCGGTAATGTTTTTAAAGAACCTTTAAGGTCAGCCAAAAGTAGCCGAGGAGTATATGTAACTTCTCCTTTAGCTGTTTGACCTTCGCGATACAAAATATCGTGGTTAACCTCTGTTTTCACAGTACCTGTGTAGTCAAAACTAAGTTCTTGTAAGTTCCAAAAGTGTGCACCAATATAGTTGGCATAGTGTCCGAATTGTAATGTGAGTATTTCCCGAGTCGACATAGTTAGTATAGTATATATTTTAACTACGGAAGATTATCATGCCGTAATGCTAAAAACTTATGGTTTTCATCGGTAGGTTAGACACCACAGCCGATGATGAGAGTAAACAATTAACAAATTCTGATTGTGACATTTCATTATTGACAATGACATTAGTAAAATATTATTGCCCTTTAAAAAAAGTCTATGTTCCACGCTCTGGTTACTTTCATAATTTAAATTTAATTCGCAATGGACTAATGTGCAGCATGGGATCATAAGGGCGATTTGAACATAATAGGACGTATACCTTTGCTAAAGAGGTGAGCAAAAGCGTAGAAACAACAAAAGCTATACTTACGACAAGTCTACTACAATGTACAAACAATACTTCGTATATCTATGCCTAGACTCTGTGAACAGAGACAGAACTACAAATTGACTTGAACTCGAATTGGATTCGAATTTTTTTCAAATTTTAGGATTACTTTTCTAGTAGCTGTTTTATCTTTGGCGGGCTGCCTGAGGCGACTTCGGAGTTTTTGCGCTAAAATTGTTTTAGCGCAAAAACTCCGAAGATAATGTAAACAAGAGGTAAGGCAATGGGCGTAAGATGCTATGGACTTGTATGATGGGAACTATGACACCTGCCGAAACATCGTAATCTGTTTGTATAAAAATGGCTGATGTAGACTCGCCAACTCACCGACCGGGCCCACGGGAAGCAAGAACTAGTAACAGCAACAGATGGACAACAGAAAAGTGAGTGGCTGAAGGGTGAAGAAATTGCCACCAACTTTCTACTCAGATCATTTGCATCTGCCTAAGCATCCTGCATCACAGACCCACTCGTCGCTTACGAACAGCTTCCACCCTTCGAGCAGGATCTTTACTCACGCGACTCCACTCAAGATGCCCAATGAAGGCAAGACAGAAGTGGGAGACCTGTTCCTCGTCATTGTTTACTCCGGCCAACCTATAAAGGCAAGCCGGAGATAAGGAACGGTAACTCCTACCTGGAGCAATAGGGATGATGGTAGCCTGCGGGATCGCAAATTCTCGTCACCTCGCCTCAAGGTGCCCTGAGGGCTTATTGCTATTATTATGTGGCTCCCACTCACGATACTACAGTGTCTCGAAAAAATATTTGCTAAGGGTCTAAGGGCTGAAGTTAACTCGCAGAGCCTTAACCCTGAATGCACTAACAAAAGCCACCCAAGTGCAAACTCTGGTGGATTTAGGACTATTGTGCAATATGGTAGAGAATTTAAATGGTTTTAGGTATGGGTGGTTATGGACTGGTAATTATGACAGGGATGGGGCAAGCGCAATGAGCAATAGAAGGGACGGGGGGAGGGGTTTTAGTCAGTAAGAGTCTGAAACTCCCTTCCGCCCCACCCTGGTCGGGAGAAATCATATGATGATTTTCCCTTCACCAAAAACAGGTATGAAAACTATGGGAAAGGCTTCTCCCCGTGACCAATACTAACACAAATGGATAAATAGGCAGGGGAAATTGAAAAATGTGCCTAACTATTTACTAGGCGCAAGTTCAAATTCAAATTCTGTGTTTATTATTATTTGTCTGTCCTTCACACCTAAACTACTAAACCGATTTGGATAAAATTTAGTACAGACATAGTTTGAAACACGGGAAAGGACATTATTATCATACGTTTTTATCCCAGGAATTCAAAAGGAGAACTTCCCAAAAATCCTACGACATCGGGAACTACATATGGGTAAAACCAAATATCTGCCAGAAATAACTATTCCATGCGGACGAAGTCGCTGGCAGAAGCTAGTAAATAAACAATATTGCTGTGGTGTGGTGGTAATTCAGTTGAGTAATGTGTATATTTTTATTATTTTATAGTTATTGCGGCAATCGCTTTCAATGTATGTAATAATGGTATTAAGATCCACTTAGCAAGTTCATTGGTAATTTGGTGCCCTCTTTTACAGAATTCTTCTTTGTTCTTGTTTCTCGAATTAATAATAAGAGAACAAAAAGGAACTAAACTTTTACGAAAAAATTAAAGATTCATTTAGGTACTCATTGAATTTTATTACAAAAATGTTATTAAAAATCGTTCACTTCCACTAGGTTTTCTTAAGTGTATACACTAATAACTAAGCTAATGGCTACACTTATTCTAAATGCTTATTACTTGGATGTTGCAATACTGGCAGTGGAAAAATACAATTACATAGTTTGTATTGTATGCATACAATTAACATACGGGTAATGACAGTTTCTTGAAACACATTTAATCTGTGCTTTTAGTCAATTTTATTTACTATATGGATTACAGACTCCGAAATATCTAAAGCGTGGCTGCAGTCAATATATTATGAACTAAGGTATCTCATACATAACTATTACATTACTTTGGAAAATGGCATCTACAAATACATTTTATAAACACGATTAATTTTAATTAAATTCACACGTATCATTACACTTTCGAATCATAGGAAATATCAAAATGAACTACATATATTAGAATTATTTACACAATTGCACTGTTGTGTCTAAGTATACAAGAGCACCTAATATTAACGCAGTTTGAGGATTCTTCAATGATGTTTTTTGTTTATTTTTTTAAGCATTATGTTACCTATTTATACTATATATTTCAAAATATTAATACAACTGTACTGAAAATAGGATTTAGGGTTGCCACTGTTGGTGAGTCACTGTGCACAGGAACCAAGTTACATATTTAACAAGGTTAATCTTAATTAATGCTGTCAATATAATTTTGGAAGTCAGTTTGCAGTATACAAGATGATACACTCCTAACAAATTCACTCTATATCCACAAACATCTCGCAGAACTTCACCTATTACTTCTACTTTACTATAAGGCAGTATTTTGTACATTTGGTGATAGGGCTGGAACGTCTATGCCACTAGTTGCTTTTTAAAATCACATTTAGACTATATAAAAAGTTTCGATTAACAATAGTCCACTAAACATGGCAACCCTATGTAATTGCAATTATAAGCAGTTCTATTTATCTTTCCGAATGAAATATTGTGGAATCATGGAGTAAATTGTATACTGGTTTTACAATCTAGTTCTTAATTTGTTTTGCCTTTACTGCTTAGGAGTATATTTGCCTATCGTCTCGAACATCTAAATGCAATTATTAAGCAGACAACGATACAAACATTAATTGCATTAATAATAATTAATATAAAAATTGTGATAAATAAGATTAATTTCTATTGCAGCGATTTTTATATTGCTTCATATCACAGTATCATCTAATCTAAAGGTTATACATAAATTGGGCTATATTGAAAAGTTTTTAAGATTAGGTTTTCATAATTTTTATATAATAAATATGCTTATCTGGAGAGTATGTGAAGACTCTCAATCTCAATTATATTGTTTGTATAATATCTGCTTCTATCTAGCTATGGCAAAACTCGTCGTAACGTTTCGCTCAAATACGCCACCTGATTTTTTACTTTTATTCAGTAAATGGCTAAAAGACGAAATAGATTTAAACGATTAATTAAGTTTCATTATATTAACGATAGGCAAAAATATAACAATGAATTTTTATCTAATTCATAATTGGAATTCATTGAATAGATTACTGATTCGTGCTCAAATGAAATGTTCCAAACTTACAACTAATGCATACTTACACTAAACTCACAATTCATTACTACATTCGAGAGATCCACTAACACAACCAATACTACAAAGACCAAGTCTATTCCATCTCAACTTTTATCTCATTCCCTATTCAATGAATACTAAGCAATGTATTCGTCATGTTTCGTCACTGGCTATTTATTTGATTTGAATAATCTGCTAAATGCTGTAAGGACAACATGACAAATCCATTATCAAATGTTATATTCACATAATTTGCCACTATAACTTTTTATAGCATTTGTATTGATGATGAATTTTTCCACTACACAAACACCTGTATTATTTATTCACCGAAATTGCACATCTTACGGATAAAATAGCAACACAATAAAAATGAAAGTAACTTTCTACAGTACAAAATTAAAGTTATGTATGTAGTTACAGGGTTAATTATAACAGGTACAATGTAAAGTAAAAAAAACAAGTTGTAGAGCATAATGTAAAGCTACGAAATTATTTAGACATAACAGCAAAATATTTGATTCTTTATGTTTCTTCCATTTGACACTAGTCTGTATAACCAATACAAAAATGTCTCGCAATTATGTCTAAAAGTAGTTTTTATCGACACAAAATGCGGCAGCTTCAAGTAAATGTTATTACCATTTCTGAGAAATGAAAGCTGCCACTAACAACAAATCATATGTAATTAATATACATAAATAAAGACAATATTTACATACATCAGCGGTGGGAACTTTACATACCCGCTATAGCGTTTGCTGATAGATTAAGACATCATTTTATGTGTTCTTTGTTATTTCAAGCAGTTTTCTGTAAGTACTTAAGGTCCATAAAAACGAACTGACAATGAACAAAAAAAACATACATTTAATGGGTGGAAATTAAAAATAAAAGTGGTCAGCTCGTTCCTACGAAAACTTTGTACTTCAGCCTTAAGTAACGTGCGTAACATTGCTTCCAACGCCAATTATTGAACGCTATTGGGCAATATTCATTCAAATTAAATTAAAATTGTAAATTTGCGGTGTTCAATAGTGACATGTATAATAATAGTAATCACATCAATATCGAAACACTTTTTTCGGTTTGTCACTTAGCAAATAATATTATTTTACAGTGTAAGATATGTAACAAGTGTTAAGTTTTTGTAAAAACATGTAAATACACTTATCTGGTACCGACTATCACGATCGAATTTGATACAATTGCCATACATTCAGAATTCCGAGATACATTCACGGCTAGTTATTAATTCGAATTATTTTACGTAATCTAAGATTTACCTAATAATGGAACAATCACTGGAGAGACTACGCTATGTTCTATCGTTGACCCCATAACGTTATGATCACAATTTTCTATGAATACAAGTCTTTTAAGTTCTTTAGGAATTTCGCTTACATTAATGCAACTCGATTAACGAGTGGCGTTTTTCTTCTACTAGTGTGCGTCTGAGTTGTTACAGGTTGATATATGAAACTTGTTTTAGCTCGCTTAGTTGGATGTACTGGAAGAAACAAAATAATATATTAATAAGCATCATTGTATATAGAATGAATTTCTTACAATGCAGTAGAAGTGTAGAGTGAAAAATAAATAATAAATGTAGGTATGTATTTCTAATTTCTTAAGAGGATCTTTCCAAATTAACATAATATCTTTTGACACGACTGCCTAAAAAAGGAGTTTTTACATTTCACAATTCTGGGCAAACTTACTGAAATACTATTAACAATTACACACTTACTTGTATAATTTTCCGTCATAGATAAGTCCAATTTTACTGGTTTTGTGACATCAATGTCGATTTCTTCATATGATTGATCTAAAATCTGAAAACCGATTCACAAATTAGTATAGGTATGGCAAAGATTTAATGCGTGCGAAAGTTATGGGAAAAGTTGAATTACTTACTTCAATGTCACTAACTTCTTCACCAGATTCTACGTCAGTAATATATGAGGTAAGTGATGAAGGCCCGGTCGCTAGTAATCGGTACGTGCCACCGACCATACCTGTGCCTTCCACTACTTCTTCAACTTCTAACTCCTGATCGGACACCTCCTATGTAAAGTAATTCAAATGTCAAAACAACAAGGCAATAATGTTCAGTTTCATCGCAGGCATTCAGAACACATTCCATTTTTTTAGATGCAAACACAGAGCCAAAAATCGACGGTTAAGATTTGGACCTAATTTACAATTCGTAAGTGAGAGCATTGTTCAGAAAAATAAAATTCGGTTTTCTTGAACAGATTCTTATTTTGGATCTTGATAGTATAGCATGCTGTAAAATACTAATAAAGAAAAATAAAACATCTTTTGAGACAATATAAGGATTAAATAGAATAATGGAAATTGAATCGTAAGAAGCTGAAGCGTAAATCAGCTTACCTGTTCTATAATAGCTTCCTCCTCTTCCACTTCTTCTTTAACTTCAGGATCTATTTCGACATCTGCATCTAACTCCGTGTCAGGATCAACATCTGCATCATCATCAGCGTCATTGTCGGCGCTTACTCCGCTGTACTTCATTTCTCCCCTTTCTAAAGCCTCTAAGTTTTCTGTAAAAAAGGACAAAACTTGTTTTAATAAAAGAGATCATTATTAGCATTTTTTACTTTAGTTCCCTACTGATCGAGACCGTGAAACCGAAAGAAGTCCTTTGAAAAGGAAAACATTAAAACCTTAAATGTAATGTTTTCCTTTGCATCAAGTATCATCATTGTATTCCATTGTGCTCTTTGTGGGTGTATATGAGCACTGCAGTTTGCTTAGGAATAAGTGATCCACCTAATTATGTAAAAAATTAAGATGAATGAAATAAGTTTTTGGGTTGTTGCTTGACACATACCTGGATAAACCATTGCCTTTTTAATTGCTTGCGGATCTTTCCGTGACCATTTTTGTACTTCTTCGTCCATTTTTCCTACTTTTGATGGGTTCATAGCCCACAGACAACCTGAAAAAGTAATTCAAAAAAATTCATCTTTTTTTATTAATACTACTGTTCCTAGATGAGAAAACATGCCTTTTCTAGGAAGGCGTTTTTATGAGTTCTGTACTAATATTATAAAGCTGTAGAGTCGGTTCAAATTAAACAATTCTTTTGCAAGTCTATTTATTGAGGAAGGCGGGCGCGATCGCACGAGATGAGTGAGACATAAGAGTTATTCATATTAGATACAAAATAATTCTCAATTAGTATTAATTATGTCCTAGTTGCAAGTTGAACTAAACTATGACCCTATTAGTAGAGGATAAAAAATTATATAATATGATAATATTTATTTTTTACCTTTTCTTTGACTTCCGTTTGTTGATGGCTTCTCAATTTTTTCGAAACATTTGTTCAAACTTAGATTATGTCTAACAGAATTTTTCCACCCATTTGGTGCCGTCTTAAAGTAAGGAAAATGTTGACTGAAAGTTACAAAAATGCCATTAGATTACAGTCACTTTAAGCAACAATTAAAAATATTTCCAATAGTTCACAACTTACCACATGAAATTATAAATCTCAGATACAGGTAGGCTACCTGTTCTGGAGTTTTTTAGCGCCATTGCTATTAAACATGAATACGAGTATGCTGGTTTAGGGAATTCGCCAGCACTAGTTTTGTTAGAAGCAATGTACTTCGTATGACTAGTATCTAACGTGAAACCACCATTTACTGAAGTTTTAATTATTTGTCTATTGTTATTTAACGAGTTGTCAATTAATATTGTTGCTTGATTTTTGTTACCATTACCTAAAATTGTTCTAGTATTTATTTGTTGTGGATCCAAGATGTGTATATTGCCTGAAATAATTGTTTTAGTTCCTAAAGAATGTGCAACTTTTTGATTCGTATTTAAAATAGAACAACTTTTATTGTTAACTTTAATTATTTCTGGCTGACTTTTAATTCGTACTGTTGTAGGTGTAGTTATACTTGATACTTTTGATTTGTCCAAGTCTTTGATCAAATCTTTTACAACATTTTTTTCTTGTTTCCGTACATAAATGACCATTTGCGTAGCTTCTTCTAATTCGGTATTCTCCTTTACTTTTGGTTTTTCTGGTTCTTGTACTTTTGATACTTTTATCGCATTGGGCGAAAACGTTAAGTGACTTTTTTCTTCTTTGGGACTGGGAAGTGATATGCTATTATTACTTAAATCGTCATTTGCGGCCGATGTCAGCAACAAATTTGAAGCTTCCTCTTTCACTATATTTTTAACGGGAGTTTCAACAAATGTCGATGGCATCACAGAATTGGGATTCACCATTACTGCATTTGCTTCTGAACCATACAAATCCAGATTATGCACAAAACTAGAACTATTATTAAGCCAAGTTGCCGAATTATCGGTGTCCATGTCTAATAAAGGCGGTAACTCGGAAAAGTGTGATCCTAAGGTATCCTGCAAAGAAACAAAAATGGTTAGAAATTACGTACATTCACTTGATAATATTCTTTATGACATGTTTAAGTAATAAGAAATCAACTAACTGCAAAGTCCGTCATACTGCTAAGGTCTGTGGCAATTTCATTTTTGATATCCATGTCCAGCATGTCCTGGAGTGAATCCGTGATGTACAAATCCATGTCTGCGAACCACTGAAAAAAAGAGAAATTTCGTTATTGTATTGGATTTAATATGAGGGAAATACATTTTCAGAAAATATTATTATTCAATTTCGCGCAAATTCTTTTCAAGAATTTTGTTGTAAACTACTGAGCCGAGACGGCGGGACTGGTGAGACGGCACAATGAATCCACTAGTAGTAGTACAGAAACCTGTTTTGTCTTAAGGTATGCGCTACCCTAACAGCGACAAAGGCACAACAGAACTACCTTGTTTACATTTAAAGATTTTTGATGATCATTTGGTAAATATTAAGATACCTACAGTAAATTATTTCAGTCATTATTATTTACTTATTTATGACAAAATTCCTTGAATCGATGTGTTGTCAGGTTAGTTAAAAAAACTTTTTATATTCCCATCCTTTTTTTATGAAGACCTACGGCAACCCACGATCTGTTGGACGAGGGTACGAGCGGTCCGGATTGGGTCGTTTACAAAGTAACGTATATAAAAACTAACGAACGGAACCACTCGGAAGGCTTCCAACATTCGGTTCGGGACGAAGTTTTTTGTCCAAGCTTTTACTCGCCTCTATAAATAACTTGTTCTGGTATGCTGTTATGTCCGTGATCCATTAAATTGTATATTTACATGTTGTGTGTATTAGTTACCTAGAACTTTCACCTTCTTTTGATAAAGTATGAATGAACATAGTATTGATGCGTAATTCGTTTTCATTGAGGATTTATTTAAAAAAAAAAATTATGTACCGAGAGAATTGTATTTTTGTTGCGAATGTAGAGTGAGTTTGCTAGTATTAAAACTACATTGCTCACTTACAAGTCCTTGAAAAACTAGTCGTACCCACAACTTGTTCTGAAATGTAAACGTATGAATTGATTTTTCATTGATCTTTAGTAAATACAATTAAGAAAAAGACCATTTATAATATTGCTAGACGAATCTAACTAAACCACAGGACGTATGAGAGAGAATCATCTTTTTCGTTTATATACTATACTTGTCTGTAGTGCGTATAAAACAGTTATGAAGTGACAAATAACTACTCACTAGATTAAAACCATGATCCGGTGCAATGACTGATAAACGTGTCATCTATCAAAAAAGTAATGATTATATCAATATCGGTTCATTATCATTACTAAGATATTATGATTTAATTTTTAAATACCTAATCATTTAACGTTTTCTTATAAATTATATTATATTATGAGGTTCAATAAAACTATGTTAAACATTTTGAATAAATGCAACTTAGTCAAAACCAGGACGTAGTATCTACCAATTTTTCGCGCCTAAACAGGATAACGGGATCGAAAATTGGACACACACCTTACTTCGTAAGCAGAAAAGAGAAGGGTACAAATAGGGTGAGAAAAAGAGATAGCTATACAGGATCGAAAGAGGGGTGAATCAACCCCAAATACCTACATGGTTAGCGCGGCGTTGCGCGCTGCTCCCTCGTTTTTAATTTAAGTAGGTATAGAAGGAATAGTGTGTTCAGTATTTACAATTTTACTATAGAATATTTAACTGTCAATGAATTATATTACAGAAAATAAGAGGTCAAAGTAAAAGATTGATTATTTCCATAAAATATTAAGTTGGTTTACCTAGATAATATCTAGATATACATACTATTATTACCCGGTTTGAATAAATTCGTAACATTGATTTCGTGATATTAAGGGCCATGAACTCAAAAATTAATATTCGAAGAGTTCATCTTACTCACGACCGTCTGATGTATGGATATTACTTGAAAAAAAAAATACTACATACCCAACAAATGTGTTTTTCTTTTGTACTGTACTACCTATCTATCTATATAAACTATACCTACTACATACATAACATACTTGTATGTTACTAAAAAGGTACCTAAATACTGAGGATAGGACAAGGATATCAGTGTATGATTAGAGGACAAAACAGAAATGGTAATTTTCTACCTGTGTAAATAAATAGCTATCGAAGGTTAAGTTTTACGTAGAAAAATATCTTCCTTTCTGAAAATAATATTCAAGCCCCCTACAAGTTTCAGCATAGTACCATGGTAAGTATTAAAGTGGGGAGATGTGGAGGCGCCGCGAGGGGCCCGCGCTGCCGCCGCCGCCCGTCGTGTCCTCGAACCTGACCGCGCGCGGTCGCCTTGAACCCATCGTGGTCGGCTCTTGCGCCGCGCCGGCCGATGGTCGGCGCTCGTGTACACGAGCCACGAAAACTCAAGTCTCGGAAAATGTTGAGTTGATAATGGATGATTTATATGCCTTTTATTATTACAAGTATTAAAATTATCATTGGGGTTTGTTTGAAGAAAAATATGTTCCTAGTTCCACTGCTAGAAATTTCATTATGTTTTACACTGATTAATAAAATCTTAACGTATTTGGCGCGAAAAATGCGCAATGAATTAATATTGCGCGCGCAGCCTCGATACGAAAGCATTTGGGTGGGGTTCAGTATTGATTGCTGCGCGAGTTTGTCCCCTCATGTCGGGTTTCTCAAAGTTGCCTGTTCCAATTGGGGAGGGAAACTGAAATATTTCAGCTTAACTTTTATAGTTAGATATGAAGGTGTTTATGTAGGTAGACAAAATGATATGTCTAGACCGGAAAATGAGATAGCTAATAATTTGAAAGTTTCACACTGGTTCAATTTTATTAAATTTTTACATATCAATGCCATTGTAGGGGTGATAGACAGGTATTGGAGCTCATGAAACATCTTTATCAGTTTGAAAGTATTAACTTACCTACATACATATTATTAACTTTTGCACAACATTGTGCGGCTCTCGGAACAAACAGATGGCACAAAGGTCAACGGCCTCGGTGTAAATTACTGACTCAACTATCTATGAATAGGGATCTAGGTAGATATTACGTACATACCTAAATACTTTTTTAAATAGTTAGTTTTTGATATTTAGTGTTTTTATGTTTCAGCAGATGAGAGTTTGTAATGTTGGTTGTACATAGAAGGAATAACGATAATATTGAAACATTCTTTTTGCCATAAATATATCTATTGTAGAAGGACAAATTACCTTAACAGAACCTTTTATTGAGTTATCTTAGTCAAAAAAATACAATGTAATAAAAGTTAAAACGAAAAAATATAAGGTTCGATGGAACCAGGTTTCAGTAAGTAGGTAGTCTACCCATGGTCGGCAACTTGTAAACGAAGCAAATGCCAGTTGTCTTTGTAGTAAAACCGAGATAGATTGTAGTTTATAGGTCAATAGAAATACCTAGTAGAAGTAGAATGCCTACTTATCTAACAGTTACCGTTAGTGGGACGTACGACATTGTTATTTCTTTTACATAAAATTAGTCGCTTTCATGGTGAGTGTAAGCATTTATTATAACTAGACCACAAATACACTATTGAAATGTCGAAAAGGTAAGAATCTAATGAAATTGTGTATTCTGTTTAGCCCCATTAGATAAGTAGGTCTGATGGGCTAATTAGAAGTCTACGGATTAGTATCCGACAAAGTGGAAAGGAACCGATCGGGAAAAAATTTCAAATGTTACACAGTTCAATTTTCGTACAGGATGCACCTGTCGGCAGCATACAAGGTATTTTATGTACTTAAGTGCCTTTTGTACGCATTTTTTACAAGTTTAAGCAGTTATGTTTGCCTACCTACCTATTGTATATTTATACACAATTTATATTGTTTATATAATTGGAAATCGTTACGTCTTCCAGTTATCAGAATATCACAAGAGGAAAGTTTAATGATAACATTAAAAATATTTTCTTTGAATAGTAGCATCTTGTTTATTTCTACGTAGAAATACATTGATAAACTCTGTATTGATAGGTTGCAGTAAAACGCTCCGTCTCGCCTGTCTCGCCGAGTGCACTACGGCGCACACACACACACGTGCAAGATGCAATACCACACCGATACGTGCATTCACAACTACAAGAGCACGATGCACTCATTGTTCAACGTTTTGAAATTCTCGCTCGCTCAAAACCGGCCGTGGGAACAAATTGCTTCGTGGATTTCTTTACGTTATACCTATTACGACTACACAGTAACAAAAAAAATGAAATGATTTATTGATATGCAGAAATTAAAGTTAACCTACCTGGTTCCTAAATTAGATTTTTTATTCCTTATTTCTTGCGTGGGAGTATTATTATTTATAAGCAGTACCGGAAGTTTTATATTTGTGTGTGTTTTATATAGGTACAGATCATATTTTTTTCATACCTAAATAATTATTAAAACCAGTACCTACATAAGTCCTACTCTTATGTCTACTTCATTGAGAATGCCGAACCTGTGCTTACTTACCTAATTAACAATGACATTAATTCATGACATAATTAGAAATAATTTACTACACATTTATATTTATAAATTGTAATATAGGAGTCTATCTACTAGTAATCAAATCCCTCTAACCTGTCTCATACCTATACCTGTAGTACAGATGAGGCAGCCCTATGTATGCATACACTGTAAATAGAACAGGAATACGGATAAGTACCTACCTAGACCTACGTTAGGAATATACCATACAGACAGTTGTAAAATAGTAGTTCTATACTACCATTGTATGCTGTTTAATTCATTGACGAGTAATTGCCGCCTTTTTTAACAGTGAATTTGGAAAAATATTATCATTACTACGTTATAAACATTGGCTATCTAATCAATAAACATATTTTTAAAACACAAATACAAAACGAGCAAAATAATCATTGTTTTAACGTAGTCGTTATCAACAAGACATAGTAGAATCGTGAGTGAAAGAGACAAAACTTAAATAATGAATGTCCGTTATTTGGTAGTTCGGAAAAAACAAATGTTTTTTGTAAAGCAAAATAAGCTTATTAGATTCACTTTGTTAGTGTTTAAATTATCAAAATTATGATCTTATTCGATCGTTTTTCAGACATTACTTGAATCAATTAAGTAGGTATTTGGTACGAGATATTACTTCGTCCATGTGTGAAAGAGCTGGCACGATTTCCCGCCACTTTGATAAAGTGCCTACGAACGTAGAAATACACCGATTTAATTGAAGAGAGACGTGCGTAACAGTATTTTAAACTAATATCAGCATATTTCGTTACAATGATGACAACAATATTGATAAATGACATGAAAAAGAGCGGGACATGTTAACTCGTTGGACTTTCCCATTGCAAATCCTTGTTTTCCGTAATAAAATGCATTGTACACTTAAAACAAAGTACTAAAAGCACTTACCGAATATTTACTGTTATAAATATCCTTTAGTTCAATGGAATAATCCTTAATTTCACACATTTACGCTTTTAAAGTCATTAGATTGACAGATATACACCACTCACTCCTTACAAAAACCACAATCTGTTTTACTAATCTCTGAAAAGGTACACAAAGAATGGTCTTCTCTGTTATTGGACAGCGAAGCCCACGTGACTAATCGCAAAAACTTTCTATTGGTTGTTGTGTCAAAGTGAATTGACGTCACAGTTCAATAGGAGTACTATTAGTTCTGTGGTTACGTAAATATCCTTTTAACTAATTAAATGCAAATTAAAATTTCTATTTTTATTAAAAAAAACTAAATATGCTCATTAAAACTTCTTGTTGTAACACTTACCAATCCACTTACCGGTTACATGGGTCGTCCATTCACAACAACATGGCGGTTTGTTTACACCGGCATGATAAGGCGGGAAGTACTTTTGACGTGTATGTAACTTTTTACTGGTAAAAGTTTATGTTAAAATAATTATTTCATTTAAAAGAATGTTTTTATTGAAGTAAATAATGTAATGTCCAAAACTAAGTAAATATAAATTGAAACCGAAGGCACATGGGCGATACCACTTTAGTCCGACGCCAGCGCCCTCTAGTGGCTCCTCACAAAACCATTAACATTTATGGCGGTAACTTTAAAAATAACAAAATTCGAAGTCATTCATTCATTCGTAGTTTATAAAGGAACAAAGAATTAAATTTTGTTTTTAATTGTTGATACTTTCGAACACTAATAAACTGATATAAAAACATTAAGCACGTATAGATAAAGTATCAACTTAATAAATGCACTGCATCTTTGCCTCAGTTTTTTTTTGTAGTGTTTTCACATAACTATGATCCAGGCATCTAAAATACTTAACTAAAACAAGTAAAATTATAAATAACATAAACCACAAACAGTAAAGTATTGTCAAAAACAAGCCAAATGTCAATCATGCTAATTAAACAATTATAACATACAATTTATCAGTCAACAATACAATATAAAAAATACAGACGGAATATAGAAAGTACTTACACAATATTTGCTATTATCTATGTCGTAATCGTCAAGGAGAAAGTAGTTCACAACAAAGTATCTAACTTTTGGCAGTTTTCAATTTATAACAATGCAACATTAACAAGTTCATAAAGATCTAACAATAAGATATTACAGCCAAATAATGAGTAGAACATTACACCAGGACCTTAATATTAAATCACACTGAAAAAGGCAGTATAATGGCAACATACTTTGACGCAATTCCATTGCAGAATGTTAAAATTTCGATATTTTGATATTTCTTTGTCTTTTATAGAGCTCAAATGTACCGAGTTTCTTTATTCTTTTCTTATTAAGGTAATCATTTTTAAAGTTGGGTAAGGCAGTGGATTGTGCAACAAATTGTGTTTCACGAGAAATTAAACTAACTTTGAAATTAGTTGTAAACCCACTGTCTGATGTCGAGGCAGTTGGTATGAACGGTAAAACTTTTGGTTTCTTGATGGAAGGCTTAAGATTTTTGCCATTGCCATCATCATTCAAATAAACACTTTCTTCCAGATAATTTGATGGTTTATTTCTTTTCTTCCTGGTTTCTTCTACAACAAATGATGATGTAGATGTTACATTCGTTTTCTTTGTTTCTGTACCCTTCGCAAGTTTTTCATCAAGGTGTTTTAATACATTAGCAGGCAGGCGCGGAATATGAACTTTATCAAATGAATTTTGTTTAAGAACCTGCCAACAAAAAATATTGTGAATGAAATAATAATTATACAGAACATATGATACATGAAAAAGTAATAAAATAAAATACAAATAAATATACCTTGGATTGTTTAGTAGAATCATCGTCATCTCTTTCTTTTCGTTTCTTGTTTTTCTTGGTTCCCTCTGAAAATAAATTTTAAATATGATTTAAATAAATTATTTTTTATGATGTTCAGTTTACTTATGCGGTTTTTGATTGAAATAAAGAAATATACAACAATATGTCTCATACCATCACTTATGTCCACTTCTTGTTGTTGTATCACTTTTCTTTTGTTTTTAGTATTACCAACAGCAGTTGATTTTTGTTGAGTTTCACTATCGGCACCTAGAATGTATAAATAAGATCAATATAAATATAGTAACTTTCTTTTGGTTCAGATTTAGTTTTTATTCAATGTGATTTTTGTCACATTATAGTTAGTGGAAAACATTTTTAAGGAAGGCTCCGGTTTACAATAATAAACTCTTACCATCAGGTTTGTTTTCTTCATCATTGTTAGAAATTTTCCGTTTTTTCTTTTGGTTATTTTTTGTCATAGACTCATCTTTAACAAGTTTTACAGTATCTGAAAATAGTAAAAATATTGAAATGATCTGATGAAAAGTGCTAATAAGGCCCTATGTTAATGGTATTGGAATAGTTAATGTAGGGTAAAAAACAGTTTGCTATTGTAAGCTGCAGGTGTCTACTTCAGGAAATAAGTAAATATTGAGTTATGTTGTTTAATAATGAACCAACCTTTGATAACTATTTCTTCAACTGTTTGATTATGTGAAGATTTACGTTTGCGTTTCTTTGTGGTCTGCTCCAGAGTACTTTCATTTGTGTTATCTGAAAAAAAAACACGATTGTAGTAACATAAGTATGTACATTTAAGTTAAAAATAATACGGTAGTTAAATTTGTATGAAAAACTGAGTTATGAAGTCATATTTTTGATTCAAATAGCTTACTTATTTCCGAATAATTAGATACAAAATATCTAAAATTTAGTGTATTGGTCAATCAATGAATAAAAGTATAGTTATTGTTCAATATTTTATTGAAACATAGAATTAATTTATTTTTGACCTAAGAAACCCAATTATTTCATCATGGCATTCGCATCTGAATTTAAGTTTTAATTAAAATAACTGACCCATAAAAATTTTGTGATTATTATACAAAATGTATAAAGATATCACGATATTATTAATACTAGCATCACTCACCTTCATCATCTGGTTCAACTGCAGTCATTTGTGGAATAGAATTGTGTTTCTTTTTCTTGCCACTATCTACAGAAATGTGTTGCTCTGCTTCTCCTGGGATTCCAATTTCTACAAAATAAAACGAATAATTTTTATTAAATCCTACTAAAATTATACCTGTAGTACCTTGGAGCTGACATAATAATATGTTTGATTAAAGTGCCTAAATGTAATAAGCATTAAAAAAAATAGTACCTGTTTCATGGTCTATTTGGGATTCTGATAGTTTGTTCTTTTTCTTTTTCGCACTGCTGTCTGCATTAGACATAGAGTTATTTGAGTTGTTTTCTGACACTTTCTCTGTAATATAAAAAAATTGAATGAACGAAAATGAAAGTAAAGGAATATAAATGTCCTAAATAGAAAATAAAAAATGTTGCTGATAGATTACTACCAGACAATCTGTTGCTTTTTCTCATAGTATAAAAATATACCAACCTGCATTTTCAAGAATACTGATGTCTGTTACATTTTGAGAATTATTTAATCCTTTTTTGTTCTTTTTCTTCTTTTTGCTGCTGCTGGTTGTTTCAATTACTATATCATCTACTTCATTATTTTGAGTTATATTTAAGTCTTGTCTGGTTTTGTTTTTCTCACTGCGATAGGAAACTTCCAATGGCGCGTCATTAGAATCGTCTGAAAAAGAATAAGTATTGTGTTACAATTTATTAAAATGTACTTTATGATACTAGCACACCACACCACACCGCACAACTTTCGAAGTACAGTAGTATGTTACAATTGCCAAGATAGTACGAAATTACTGTTATATTTTATGTATATTTTGTAAGCATACATACCATCCACTAATGCATCCGCAATATCGACGAAGGAAACATTGTTCTTTTGTTTGTTTTTCTTTGCACTGTTCTTTATTGAAGAGTTGGCATCAGTTTTATTTTCATCATGAGTGCCCGTTGTGTCTATAAAGAAGCCTAAAGTCTCTTCCTCTGGGGCATCTAAAGGGTTATATTAAAAAGTTAATAAACTGTTATCACCAGTCTTGCATTCATGGCCAGGGGTACAAATGAAGCTTAGATTAAGGCAAAACTAAAAATCTTATCAATTTATTCTGCTGCAAAGGGCTAAATTGTATTGGGCAACATTTTTCTTTTTTATTTGGTATAAGAGTAAAGAGGAGTTGTAAAGTATAGCACAACTATTAAACAACTTACTCATAGCTGATGTTTCTTCCGTCTGAGACGATTTGCGCTTATTCTTCTTTTCATTACTGCTTACATTCAATAAAGACCCATTCTTCGACTTGTTGCCGACATCTAAAAATATTCAAAATAATTTTAACACTTGTATAAACAAGTCTTATTTAAACACCGAATCTTTTTAGTGTATGCAAAATTTTGGACACTGCTTAGAAGTTTCTTGTTGATAGCAAAGCTAAATAAAAATTTATTGATGTTCAAATTAGTTGTATGTAAAATGTGAGTTCAATTTCCAAGCGCAAAATGTGAGTTTTAAATATTTAATTGTTTTTATTGTAAGTGATTTCAAATACTGGTCATTCAATGTGTGTGTAAATGAATATAATAAGATTGAACGTTATATATATCACTCAAATGTAAAAACAACAATCAATTTAAAAATACTAAAATATACATACCAATATCTTCAAGAATGTTTGTTTTCGCTTCAGTTCTCTTGAGAGGTATGAATTTCTCGGCAACTTCTTGGTCATCATTTTTGGCAATAAGACTTGTTTCCTTTTTCTTACTAGTCATCACTGACTCACTGTCATTACTGTCTTCGTTGAATAACAGTTTCATATCAATAGAATCAGATGAACCTTCAGAGAATGCATTGACTTCTTTTTCAATTTTATCCATACTTTTGTTACTCAAAGACTTATCACGTTTCTTATTTTCTTTAGCACTATCGCCAGAATCAACTTTCTTTTTGTTATGTTTCTTAACTTGCGTAAGATTAAGCTGGTCTACTATAGGCTCTTTTGACTTTTGTTTCGTCTTTTTATTGAGATCTAAAGAAATGTCCGCGTTTTTAATCTTCTTTGTATTTGATTTATTCAAATTATTAAGAATAGATTCATAATTTTGTGTTATTTCTTCATTTTCACTAATTGAGTCATCATCAGTAACATCCTCGTCATCCTTTGCAATGGAGGGATCCTGTAGAGGATCGGAAGTTTGATTTGTTTTTATCATCGAAATGTCTTCATCAACATTCACTTCTTCCACCTCATCCATATCAGTTACTGCTACTATTGGAATCCCCAATTCCTTTTGAGGAGTTTTAGGCTCTACTTTAACAATGTTACGCAATATCAAAGGATCAGTTTCAGCCGTCTGGCTTTCATCAGGAAGTGTTATTTCTTTTTCATTTGTTGCATTTTCTTCACATACAGATTCCGATAAGCGTTTTGCTTTCTTTTTATTCATGGATTTGTCAGCATCAGATTTAACACTGATATCTTGACTAGAATCGATTCTTTGCCGCCTGTTTTTCTTAGTTTGTGCGGTAACTTCCTCTTCTGATTCTGAGGAAGATGAATCTAAACGCTGGCGGTTATTTTTCTTCGACTTAGCCTTAGTGGATTTGGCACTCTTGTCAGATTCATTCAATTTATGTCTTGATTCAAACATTTCTCTTGAAGCTTTTTTCTGTTCCTTTATTTTGCGTTCATTGAATTTATTTTTGGATTTTGCACTCATCGTTAGTTCATTATCACTCATAGACAAATCATCGCCCGACCCACTAAGCAAATCATTGTCCTCTTCATCAGAAGTCACAACAAATGAACCTTTTTCGTAGTCAGAGTCATCAGAATATTCATCTTCATCTTCTGAATCGAGAGTTTCGCCCTTTTCTACTATTTCATTTTGTTCCTCATAATCTTTTTCATCCTCATCCCTGCTATCACCTGATTCGTAATCGTCACTGGCTTCTTCTGCTTCATCATCCACCATTTTACTCTTTTTCAATGAAGATTCTTCTTCAGACTCGTCTTCTGAACCTGCTTCATCAGACTCGTCTTCTGAATCTTCTTCGTCGGAGGATTCGGCTTCCTCTTTCTGTTTCAGAATAGATAATTCTTTTTTTGACTTGTTAGGAGTATCTTTTTTCTCAGCCTTAGTTGCACTATTCGGAGCAATAATTGAACTGTTAATCTGCAAGCCCAATTTTTTAAGTGATTTTTGTTGAAGAGGTGTGCTAGTTGAATATGTCAGTGACAGATTTTTCTTATCAGTCTCTTTTTCTGAATTCATATTTGGCACATTAACAGACTTCGACAACTGTTCACTTGATTCATTATTGTCTTTAGGAACACTAGTTTCTAAATTTACATCATTTTCTGAAGTATCTTTAAGTTGGGATAACACAAGAGTACTTTTATTAGCATTTTCAGATTTATCCAGATTAAGTGATTTATTCTTGGTTTTATTAGAACTCTTATTAATACTGTCATTATTAGAGACATTACAAATTGACGACTTCCTCTTTGATTTGTTATTGCTCATGTTGAACATGTCATCATCATTGCAGGCATCAGAAATTGATGTTTTAAGACAATTGGCACTTACTTCAGCAACCATAGCTGTCACTGAAGATTTGCTTTTGGATTTATTTAAGCTCCTATCAATGTTATCACCTTTGGTTGTGTTCAGGATTGCAGATTTTCTTGTAGATTTGTTACTTGCATCATTTAAATCTTCTTCTGTATTGTTTTCTACTTCTATATCAGCTACTGAAGACTTTCTCTTGGATTTATTTAAACTTTTTTCTAAATTATCATTGGTTGAGTCTGACACTGTTGATTTTCTTACAGATTTGTTTAATCCTTTGTTTACACTGTCATTGTTAGATGCTTCTTTGTTTAGAGACTTTCTGACAGACTTGTTAGTACTATCATTTGCTTCGTTTTCTGTTGCAATGTTTGATATGGAAGACTTTCTCTTGGATTTGTTTGATTTATTGAGAATACTATCAACTTGAGTGTCCATATCTATCACTAAAGATTTACAACTCGCATCTTGTAAAGCATTGTCTTTAGTATCTTCAGAACTAATATTAGATATGGATGATTTTCTCTTTGATTTATTAGTATCTGCAACATCGTCATTAGTCACTTCAGACAAAGAATTTCTTTGTGATTTGGACCCACCATCAACACTATCTTCTGTGGCTATGTTTGATATTGCAGATTTTCTTTTGGACTTATTGAGACTAACATTTGCGTTTTGAGAATTGTTTAAAATAGATTTTCTATTTTCCTTGTCACTAATTGAATCATTTGTTTCAGTAAAAGTAGAAAGTGATACATTTTCTGGCATAGTTTCATCAATGTCCATTGGTTCATAACTGAGATTACTTTGTGCCACATCAGCTGTTTCTTCCTTCTCTAAGTGATGGTCAACAACTGGGACCAGCTGATCTCCACTGTTTCCACTCTCTTTCCCAATACTATCATGATTAGAGTCTGAGTCTTCAATAAATACTAAAGATTGAACATTACCACTTGGAGCATGTTCAAAGAACTTCTGAGTGTTACTGGAGTCAAGTTTTTGTGACGAATTTAAACTATCAATACCTTCATCAACATCTTTGGAAACTTCTTTAGCGTCTAATTGTGTTGATGATTTATTCAAAGATGTGTTTACCCCAGAAACTTCGTTTAAAGATGTTTCTGTCTCCACATTCATGGATATTTCATGTCGTTTTTTCTTTTTTTTGTTTGAAAGTGTTGAAGTGTTTAACAAAACATTTTCTTCACCCTTACTTGAGTTCATCACACCATCACCAGATCCAGTTATGATAGATAAATTAGGAGTATCACTCTTATTTTTGTTTTTCTTTTTGGTAGCTTCACTATCACTGCAGAAGCTATTTTCGTGAGTGGGTTCAACAGAGATTGTAGTCCATGATTTTGTCCTGTTTCTTTTATTACTTTTGAGTTGTGGTTCTTCAATAGCTGTCGTGGTTTTGTTAAGATTGTTTTTGGTCTTTTTGGGAGCTTCTTCTAGTTTTTCGATGAGATTCTTACTGGCCATAGATATGTTAATTTCTTCTGATGTTTTTTGGGCTTTGGGTTGATTTTTTTGTTCAACTTTTGATTCTGATATAGATTTGTCGGCTACATCAGTTGCTTCACTTGTTACTTTGTCATTTGGGAGCTCATGTTCTTTGTTTTCGGCGTCTATGGAAGTGCTTTTTCTGGCTTTACCAACAAGTCGAGGACTTTTTCTGACTGGTGATTCTGATTTAGATTTCTCAGCAATTGTTTCAGTTATAGATTTTTCACCAGTATTGGAGTCTTTGGCATTATTTTCTGCTTCTTCTACAATGACGTCTGTAACTTGGGTATCTAATTTACCAGCAGCTTCAACTGAAATAGTAATTAAAAAGAAGTCAAACAAAATCACTATATCTGAATTAGAATAAAATTATTTTTAGTTTTATATAAAATAATAAGTATGTTAACAGCTCTTTTAACACAAATTCATTATGAGTAATTTTTACTTAGGAAACTTGGGCTAAATTGCCTTAAGGCAAAAAAGAAAATTACTTTTCATTTAGTTATATAATGATATTAATATTATAATAATATTTACCAGGCTTGTCAACACTGGAAGTTGAATCTTTTCTAGTTCTTCTTGTCTGTCTAGCTGGGGTGATTGGAGCTTCATTGTCACTGCCTGAAAAGACCATACAATAAATAATCACAAAGAGGCTTCACTTAGCATTTACCATAACACACATTTTACCTTTATATTACATAGATAATGTCCATAACAGTTTGTTCTAGTGTTATAATGTGCAAGAAGTTTAATAAAATAAAAATAGTAAAATTATAGAATGGAATATGGTCTATACACATTCTAAACATAGCATTTGGCTGCAAATTAAAAAAAAAGACTTATACTGAAAATCTATGTACTTGGTGATGGATCAAAATTGTATTCCTAAATAAATATCTTACCAGCCAAAGAAGTTCTCCTCGCAGCCCTTTTAGCTCTTGGTGAGTTAACATTCTGAACAGTCTCAGCTATGATGCTGGTGTTCGATTTTATCCTAGTGCTGCGTCTAGAGGGTGTTCCCTTATCTTCAGCCACATCTGGAGTCTCAGACACTATGCTGGTATTGGACCTAATCCTGGTACTGCGCCTTGATGGTGTTACTACTTTCTCTTCAACTGGCTCTGCTATGGACTTTCTTGTCCGTTTTGGGGCTGCTTCTGGAGCTGTAATGTTTGTGAGGTGGGGGTTAAAATAATGGTTTTCATCATTACTTTTTGTTCAAACTTAATATTTATTAACACAAGGCCATAATACTGATAGATAGTTTTGCAATAGCAAATTGTATGCTTTCAGTAGTATTTAAACAAGAAAAATTTGTTTCTTTAATATCTTTTTTTTTACTAATTGTGAAAATGTTATATTTGAGATAATATAATATTTTATATCTGGTGGTCAGGTTTTGAATTCATTCATTAAAATCATAACAGACACTAAAGAAATAAAAATGTAGAAGTTGGCTAGCTAGTTATTTCAATAATAACATCTAGTACTCATATCCTAAAGCTATGCTTATGTACATAGAAATAGATATATGTAAAGTTTAAATTGATGTTATATGTGCAATTTGGACTTGATGAGAATGATAAGATAAACTGCACTGTGACTTCTACATCTTTTAACCATGTAGTTAATATCAAGTCTTATAGAGAGTTTTAACCATGTTTTTTAATACATGGAAACTGAGGCACTTTTACAAAATATAAATTAAAACATCAACAGTATAATTTCTTACAGAAACACCTACATACTAATACACAAACACACACACACTCACCCTATGTACATCCACACCATAATTCTGACGAACACACTCATACAATCACACACGTGTGTGTGATTGTATGATGATGAATGATGAATTGATGCGCAAGCATACAAGCATGCTTTAAAACTAGTTTAAGTGTTCAATAATAATTGTAATTGTATAGTACAGAAATAAAGATTTTGTATTGTATTTGAATGTTAATGAAGACTCTCAAATCAGTATAAAGTTAAATTGTATTGAATTGTTGTAAAGTTCCTTTTAAATATTATTCTCAAACAACTTTAGTTACCATTCTCAGCAATAAGTTCCAATTGTGGCTTGGCAGCCAATCTCCCACCCCTCTTCTTTGTTGGTGTAGATTGTGAAGGAGACTTGACATCTTCAGCTTCAACAGATAACCTGCGTCTCAACCTTGTCACTGAAATACATTGACATGCCACTTCAGTATCTTAACTTTAACCTCTTTAATCTTAATATTAATTATTTTTATAAGTAACAAAAAGAAAAAGAAATTATTACATATGATTGTTAAGCAATAGAGGGTTCTTGTAATAAAATCCACATAAAAAGAGGTGACATGAAGTAAATATCATAACTCAAACTAGAGTCTCATTAAAATTTGCATCAACTTGTTTTATTAGATCATTTTTTCCCTGTTAAAGGAAAATGCTAGGTGTATTATTGTGGCATCTGAAACAGTATATATTGTACGCTACGACATGTAAAAGAGAACAACGTTGATGTAGTTACTGGAAAAGTTTTATATTGGATTAAACATCAAGTTCCTTTGTCCATTTAAACATGCGCGTTGCGTGGCTCTGTTATGCGACAATCGATTTATTATACTCTTGAAACATTATTATTGGAATAAACAGTTAGAGAGTCATTTAAATCCAAAATAAGTAGCTGGTAATGTTATGAAATAACGTTGCAATACGCAATTACGTCGCTTGCTAAGGAAAACTAAAAAAATGCCATTGCAACATGTGGCTACATAAATATTAGTCATAGAAGAAAGCAGAACTTAAATTTTATAGAATCAATCCCCTTCCAATACTAATAAAGTTCCAGAATGCTTTCGAATCACCGGTAGCGTGATGCTCTTATCACAAAACTAGCGTACCACGCTTCCACGCCACATTTATTGGTTGTAAAGTTATAAAATTTACCTTTAATGCCGACTTCTTCTTCCATATTCAACACTTTTATACCATGAACGATTCTTTTTCAAATTTACTCCGAGACACGTGCAAACAAGCTCAACCGATTTTAAAATCGTGCTTTTTCGAGGCAAATGGTAAAACAGCTGTTAGGACGCGGCGAACTGTCAAATCAAATTCGACGCGTGCTTTAATAATGGCAACACAGCTGTTTCCGCCAGGTAAGGATGTGCGTAAAGCTTCTTACTTTCTACTTTTACGGTTTTTTGTTACTAAATTACTAAATATCAAATAAATGAATTGATGAATTTTACCCCAGAGATTTGATTAATAAATTACTTAAAATTTTAAGATATTAAAGCAATGATAAACTTTTACTGAAAATCATAGTCATCAATTGAAAAGTTAAGTTAAAAAATATTTTAAATGAAACAAGTTAATTGCCTACAAACCTATTACTTCTGTAATAATAAATATGGTACTTATATATTTTGTCTGTCTAAAACAAGTATTGTCATTGACTTACATTAGGTTTCTGCCACGGCACATTAATAGATCCTATTAAACGTAGTGGTTACATACTCTTTGGACCCTATATTGATAATGCCATTTAACATGTACGAGAGCCATGCTTCGGCAATCGGCATAGCTTCTTCGAGTGAGTGAGGGTACCAGTCCTTTCCCAATCCCAATTCCCTAATCCTCGATTGCCTAACAGTTTCTCCAGATGAATGAAAGGTTTTATTTAGCAAACCATTTATCTACAACGACAAGGAATTTCGTCATTATTTGTAACGACCTAAAAAATAATAACAATAACGTCCCATCACATGTAGATTAAAACTGTTCAACAGGCCTCTGCGAATTGGCTTCGGCCCCTAGTACGCCAACCAAAGGTACTGTAATCCCTGGATATAAGGCAAGAAATAACAACAATAAGTAGTATGAAGAATTATTACAGGATTGAAATATTTTCTTTGTAATTAATATGTCTAAGGTGCGGGATAGGTATAAGAAACCAGCCATAGAGGAATATAAATATTAATCGTAGAAGTTTTAAAAACGCGACAATTACGCTTTAACAAAATATTGCGGTTAATATTTTGTTAAAGCTCCGCCTGCATCTATAACAGCATCGCATCTGCTTCGCATGGATTTTACTAAGGACTCGCACAGATCCGAGCCTCGGAGCGATTCCCACACCTCGTCAACATGTGCAACTAACGCCTCTTTTGTTCTCTCAGATCTTGAATCCCATCGTTGAACCATTATAGCCCACAAATTTTCGATGGGATTCAAATCCGGAGAACGCGAAGGCCAGGGCACAGTTCGAAGATTGGGCTGTTGGTCAATCCACTGCTGCACTATGCGAGACCGGTGTATCGGGCAGTTATCCTGAATAAAAGTTATTTCAGGATGTTCTGCCTCTGGATAAACCACTCTCACAGTAGGCAACATTGTGTCTTGCAACAGCTCCAAGTAGGTTCTGTTACAAAACCCCCTGTTGCTCTTCCGGGGATATAAACCAATTCCCCGGGGCCTGCTGCACTCATCCAAGCCCACATGTTGACGACCACCCGCCCAGACTCATTTTTGGGTAGGACATTCCTAGGTTCGTATCTGGTGTTGTTCACACGCCATAAATGTCGTCGGCCTATCTGACTTGATTTAAAGCTCTTTTCGTCGGTAAATATGACGCGTGAAAAATCAAAGTCCCTGTAATCTCGAGCGAATCGGACACGAGCTGTTTTATGGGCTTCAGTGAGTAAAATTTTTTTCGCTGGTTTTCTATTCCTTATTCCCGCACGCCGTAGACCATTCCTAATGGTTTGAGCTGTGCAGTCAAACTCCGATAGGCGAGTAGGCGTGAATGGATGCTGCTCATAAACCGAGACCATACGCTGCACACGTTCCTGTGTGAGTATGCTCGGTTGCGGCATACGTGGCATCCTTTCTAGACTCCCCTCGCTGTCGAATCGGCGAAGCCATAATTTCACCGTATTTCGCTGAAATGAAAAAAAAAAACATTTTATGGCTCAATGTTTGAGGAATCTAATCTAAGAGTTCATACAAAAAATTAACACAAACTGAAAAAAAAAAATAAGTAAGTCATTTCATAATTACTGGATATAAAAATATTAAACATTAATTTACTTTTACAAGGATAAATGGACCGTTCATAAAAGCTGTGTTGTCTTATCCACTCAGCTAGGGGAAGTTTTGAGACCCTTTCTAAAAATTGTGAAGTGCATAGATATTGAGCAAATAATTTATAATAAATAATACTCACCGACATATTCAATTCTCTCGATATTTCTGATATATTTAACCCAGAATCTCTTAGATTGATTATGCTACTCCGTTCCACAACTGATAGATTTCTGTGTTTCATAATGAAGAATTACTTTCTCACTCAAAATAAAAAAAAAACGTTGTTGGTGTAAGACTCACAAGTTGCAACTGAAGTAACAAAATTATCAAAAACTGACTTAACCTCGCAAGTCATAAAATTGGGTAAACAAAAAGGTGGCCCATTAGTAAAAAATGGACCTTTCTCTGTAATTGGTCAAATAGAAAAGGGGCGGATCGCCATGTGGTCATCTCATGCAAGCAAAAATTTTTCATAAATGGTCAACCATGGCCTTTGGCGATTGTACCTAGGTAAGTAGGTACCTATAGTTCTCATAATAGTAGACTTTTTGTTTTTACGGCATTTCCAAATAATTCTAACTATGTTTAAATAGTTCAATGTTAAATCGCTAAAAGACAAAGTGCAAAAGTGTGTATTAATTATTTTGATGCTAATGAGTTTCTTTCTTACCGTATTTTATGACAGTCACATTAATCTTTTCAGATGTAATAAAAGATTCTTGGTCACTTTTCTGAATACAATTATTACCTAATAAGGTATCAACTCCGATTATAAAGCAGTTTTATAATCTGAGTTAAAAAACAAAAAACTCATGTACCTATTTTGTTATTTAATTTCTTTTTATGTTTTTGTTCTGTTAAATAGTCAATAACAATTAGATTATAAAAGGTATTTTTTTAAATGTAAGTTCTTTAATTATATTTGGTTAACTTGCTCCTTTCTGTTTACAATAATAATATTTAAATATAAATTAAATGAAGAAAATACAAGCTATTACACGGTGGTTTCTAGCCATTTTCCAACTTCATCATCACCAGACCACCCATCTAGCTCAAAAGTAGTCCTTAAAACTCTTAAAATGAATTTATCTAGTCCATACTCAGTATGGTTATAGTAAGTACCACTAGCTTTACCCCCGCGACTTTTTTCGTGTGGATTAAGTTCTCGTGTTACAAACTATGTCTGTACAAAATTTAACATAGGTAAATAGGTTCAGTAGTTTAGGCATGAAAAAAACAGACAGACAGAGCTACTTTCGCGTTTATAATATTAGTTTGGATTGGATTTAATTACTGTATTCTCATGACCATTTTCCATCTTCACTACTAGACCCTGGTTACCATTGATTATAATTACCTACTCGCAAGGACGATTCAAACGAGTTTTTGAGGTCCATACAAAGATCCTAAGGACACCAGCCTAGTTCAATTATTAGTTTGGAGGGATGAGAGGACAGGATGAATATAAAGTTCCTCATGCTCCTTTGTAAATGGGTAATCCTCCGACCAGAGGTGTTGTGTCTGGCGGCCTACTACCCGACGGTTGTTGTCGGGATTTTTGTACCAGATACCACGACGTACAATCTTGAACGTGATTGGTGCTGTTGCTGCGTGTTGTGCGGTAGATGTCGCTACAACTAGCTCTATTTCATACTCATACTAGGTAATATTGCTTGCCTAATTATGTGATTTGCAATAGCTCAATCAGTAAGCAAAAAGTGTATAAAATTTAATTTCCAAGTTTTTATTACAGGCAAAGAAATCTCTTAGATATACAAAATACAAAAATCACGCATTAATATTTCCTCGGTTTTTCTAATACTGCGTATTGTCGAAGACTGGTATGTATGTTGAAGATTGATCTAAAGTGTCAAAGACTGTGAATTTTTAAAATTATTTTGTGGCTGCTGTATTTATCAACACTTCAGTTTTCGTAACTCAAGGAAATAAATATAGGTAAAACCGCATTAAATATTATTTTCCTTTTAACCACAATGAAAGTAATAATAAGAAATAAACTTTACACCAAAAGAGTTAACATATACCTACAAAAATTACAGTATACATCAGCACAGGGTAAAGTAAACAAGTATTTTTAGAAATTAACGCATAACATTTTATATTACTCAAGGATAAACATTTCTAGGTACCGGGCATTGAAACGCAATGAGGGTTACCTATATTGCGAGGACCATAAATGTCGTGGCAAGTAACTGTACCATTGTTACTGTGAAGTTTTAAGACACTATTGACAAAAGGTGTAGGAACTCACAACATGGTGAAGAAACCTGGTCTTATGATTTGTAATTTGAGAGCAGCCAAGCCTTGAGCAAGCGTGGTGATCAATGCTCAAATCGTCTCCATATAAGAAGAGACCTTTGCTCAGCAGTGTGCTCTTATATGCTTATATCATGACGATGATGACGATGAGGGTTAAATTAAGTACATATCAATGGTACCTACCTATATTTTCATATTACATGATTTTTCATATTCATCTTAGACTGTTATGAAATGTTACGTTGCTGATCGTCATGAGGTTTGTAGAACATATAAAGCGACTGACAAAACTATTGGTTTTATTAATTTATTGACAATCAGGTTGTGGGCCTAAATACCTAGGTAGGTATTTTATAATTGACTCAACTCAATGATATTATATTAACACAGACATATGTTATACGCTCACAAAACGCACGAAAAATGTGTTCCGCGCCAAGCGTCAGCACACTCACATACCTTTTTATTAATTGTACATATTACTACAAGTTTAAATTATAGACAAAGGATAGTAATATTTTTTTGCAACCTTTCTTTTCTCTTGGATTTTTTCCTGTTTCGTGGATGCGTTTACAAACAGTAGGTAACTGGTAGTAATTGTTAGATCGTTGAAAAAAATCTTTCGTACTGCATCGGAACCCTGATACGTTGCATAGGGAGGTGCTTTTGCAAGCGCAAATGTATCGTAGCCCAACCCAGAGCAGAAGAAGGAACGAGATGGTTTTCAGTTAGTTCGAGTCTGACACTCCTTCAGACCCCACATA